AGACTCGCTTGAGCCCAGGAGTTGGAGGTTGCTGTGAGCTGTGATGCTACGGCACTCTACCCAGGGGGATAGCTTGAGGCTCTGTCTCAAAAAAAAAAACAGAGTTTACCATCCAAAGATCTATATAAGGAAGTTCTAAGAACTGTATTTCAGGAGGTGAGATAAGTTAGGGCAAAATTTAAGATTCAAGAAAAAATGCAGAGCAAAATGTAAGTTGACATGTAAGTAAAAAAACAGTCAATGTACATATATAAAATAATACTACTTTTACATGTCCAATTTTTGTATTAAAAATATGATTAAATATTTGAATTCCACAGCATTTAAGTTGGAAGTTGGGACAGAGTAATTAGAAAATCTCAAAGCATCTACTGATAAGTATTCAAAGTTAATAAGGAGTAAAGCAAATTGGATAGATACATAGATGATAAACAAAAGTATCAACTGCATTCCTATATACCTGCAACAAATATAAACCAGAGATATGTTCAAAAAAGTTCTAAACAGCACTGTTTGTAAATAGCTACAAACTGGAAACTAGAAACAGTCAAAATACCTATCTATAACAGAATAAATAATGTGTAGTTTATTCATAAAATGGAATACTACATAGCAGTAAAAATCAATACTGCTTACGTTGACACACAGTCACACAGATTAAATCACCAGCCTTAAGGCTGAACAAAAAAACACATTGGACTGGGTACGGTGGCTCATGCCTGTAATCCTAGCACTCCGGGAGGCTAAACCAGGTGGAGTTTGAGCTCAAGAGTTAAGAGACCAGCCTGAGCAAGAGTGAGACTCAATTTCTACTAAAAACATAAAAAAATAAGCTGAGCATTTTGGTGGGGGCCTGTAGCCCCATCTACTTGGAGGCAGAGGCAAGAGGATGGCTCGAGCCCAAGAGTTTGAGGTTGCTGTGAGCTATGATGCCAGGGTATTCTACCTAGGGCAACAGAATGAGACTTTGTCTTTAAAAAAAAGAAAAAGAAAAACATATTGCAACATTGCATAAGAAAACAAACACTATAATTTTGTGTGTCTAAAATTAAAAAAACTAAACACATTGTTTAGGGATATAAGTAAATGTGGTAAAACAACAATGAAAATGAGTGGAATGATAAACACAAATTGAAGACAGTGGTTGCCTCTGGGAAAGGAGAGAAGAGAATAGGACTGGGAGGTCCCTCAAACAGGGACTTCAAAGGTAATGGTAATATACTTTTTCTTCTTTTTTTTTTTTTTTGAGACAGAGCCTCAAGCCATCCCCCTGGGTAGAGTGCCATGGCATCACGCTCACAGCAACCTCCAACTCCTGGGCTCAAGCGAGTCTCCTGCCTCAGCCTCCCAAGTAGCTGGGACTACAGGCGCCCGCCACAACGCCTGGCCATTTTTTGGTTGCAGCCATCATTGTTTGGCGGGCCCGGGCTGGGGTTCGAACCCACCACCTTAGGTGTATGTGGCTGGCGCCTTAGCCACTTGAGCCACAGGCGCCGAACCACTTTTTCTTATTTTTGATGGTGGCTATGAGTATTTGTTTCTTTATTCTTTATATTTTATCTGCATTTTACTGATATTCACTTATATCTATTCACTATTTAATAAAAACACGTATAAAACATAGTAAAGAAATGATAAATTCAGATAATGAATTTAGATGATGGGGACCAGGAATGAGCATGGCATAGCAGAAGTGAATAAATTTAAAAACTGGAATATAGACTCGGCTACTGTAGCACAGTGGTTACGGTGCCAGCCACATACAATGAGGCTGGTGGGACTGCCCTGGGACTGCTAAAACAACAATGACAACTGCAACAAAAAATTAGCCAGGCATTGTGGTGGGTGCCTATAGTCCCAGCTACTTGGGAGGCTGAGGCAAGAGAATCACTCAAGCCCAAGAATTTGAGGTTGCTGTGAGCTGTGATGCCACTGCACTCTACTGAGGGTGACATAGTGAGACTCTGTCTCAAATAAATAAATAAAAATAAAAACTGGAATATAGAAAACTTCTATGTGGTCTTAAATTGTGGCATTAAAATGTTCTGTTTCTCAGGGGATAGGTCCATAAATGTTTGGTATATTCTTTTTTTTTTTGAGACAGTCTCAGACTGTTACCCTTAGTAGAGTGCCATGGTATCACAGCTCACAGCAACCTCAAACTCCTGGACTCAAGTGATTCTCCTGCCTTAGCCTCTCAGGTAGCTGGGACTATAGGTGCCCGCCATAATGCCCAGCCATTTTTTGTTGCAGTTGTCATTGTTGTTAAGCTGGCCCAGGCCAGGTTTGAACCTGCCACCCTTGGTGTATATGGCTGGCACCATAACCACTGTGCTACAGAAGCTGAGTCAATGTTTGGTGTATTCTTTTGCTTATAATTTCCTTGTGTGTCACATATATGCTTTTGTAGATATTGGCCACTCAGGTCTGGCAGCACCATTCTACTCACCAGGATGCATCTCACTGTATGAACGGCACTTGGATCTTTGTGGTTGGCTGCCCAGTGAAGTGGGATCTTGCCTTCCACGTCAGGAATCCCAATGTTGGAATCGTGCTTGATAAGCAGCTTCACGTGCTCAGGGTTGTTATAGTAGGCGCTCCAGTGCAGAGCTGTTTGCTGCCAAAGTGACAGGTTCTCCAAATGAAACAATAGTAACCACAACAATGACAGTAACGACTAACTTTCTCCAAGCTTTTACTGTGTGACAGGCACTGTGGTAAGAGTTTTATACAGTAGTCCCCGGCTCCCCTTCTTGATTTCACTTTCTGTAACACAGCTAGAAAATGTTAAATAGAAAATTCCAGACACAAACAATTTATGAGAGAAAGAGACAGTCTCACTCTGTTGTCCTGGGTAGAGTGCATTGGAATCACAGCTCGCAGCAACCTCAAACCCTTGGGCTTGGGCAATTCTCTTGCCTCAGCCTCCTGAGTAGCTGGGACTACAGGCAATCAACACTACATCCAGCTGGTTTTTCTATTTTTAGTAGAGACAGGGTCTTATTCTTGCTCAGGCTAGTCTCGAACTCCTGAGCCCAAGCAATCTGCCTGCCTCAGACTCCTAGAGTACTGGGATTACAGGCATGAGCCACTGCGCCAGGCCTAATTTATAAGTTTTAAATTATACACCATTCTGAGTAGCATGATGAGATCTCACACTGCTTGTCCTGCCCAGGGCATGAATCTTCCCTTTGTCCAGCACATTCTCTGCCCATTAGTCACTTAGTAGCCAACTTGGCTATAAGATCAACTATCATGATAATGGAATTGCTGTGCTTATGCTCAAATAACCCTTATTTTACTCAATCATGGCCTCAAAGCTTAAAAACAGTGATGCTGATAATTCAGATACGCCAATGAGCAGCCATAAACAAAGTGCTTCGTTTAAGTGATAAGGTGAAAATTCTCTACTTAGTAAGAAGAAAAATGTATGCTGAAGGTTGGTGAGATCTGTGGTAAGAATGAATCTTTTATCTGTGAAACTGTGAAGAAAGAAAAAGAAATCCATTAATAGTCTTGCTTCTGTACCCTAAACCGCAAAAGTTATAGCTACAGGCGGGGCACAGTGGCTCTCGCCCGTAATCCTAGCACTCTGGGAGGCTGAGGTGGGTAGATTGCCTGAGCTCAGGAGGCTGAGGTGGGTGGATTGCCTGAGCTCAGGAGTTTGAGACCAGCCTGAGTTAAAGTGAGACTCTATCTCTAAAAATAGCTGGGCACTGTGGTGGGTGCCTGTAGTCCTAGCTACTTGGGAGGCTGAGGCAAGAAAATTGCTTAAGTCCAAGAGTTTGAGGTTGCTGTGAGCTGTGACATCATAGCACTCTACCAAGGGCAATAAAGTGAGACCCTGTCTCAAAAAAAAAAAGTTATAGCCACAGTGTGTATTAAGTATTTAGTTAAGATGGATAAGGCACTAAATATGTGTGTGGAAGATGGGAGTAGAAAAGTGTCCTATTGGCAGTAATTGGGTTTGGGACTGCTCACAGTTTCAGGTATCCACTGGGGGTCTTGGAACTTATCACCCAGGGACACTGGGGGACTACTGTGTATTGAATCTCATGTAGTCATCATGACATCCCTGGGAGATCAGTACTCTTTTTAATGTGCATGAGACTGATGAGGCAACAAGCACAGGAAGATCAGTAGCCTGCTCAAGGACCTAAGGGAAGTAAGTGGCTGCACTGAGATTTTAACCCAGGCCGTCTGACCCTAGAATCTGACCTCTTAATTATGACAGTCATTTCATTTTTAAGGTACTAACAATAGGACTGAGAAGGAGAAAAGCAGCCCAATAATTTATACATAATTATTAATGAAGTAATGATTTTGATATTGCACTTTTGGTTATTACCAAGTACCTTAAGAATTTGATTTGATAGGATGTTCTGAATTTTAATATATATCAAAAAGAAGATCCATGCATAGGAAATTTATGAATCAGGAATCCATTCCTTGTATCAAATTTAAATTTAACTATAATTTTACAGGATAAATTGCTAGACCTAGTTACTGATGAAAGATACATTTTGAAAACATGGCAGCACTTCCTTTAGTCAATCTAAATACCAGAGAGGCTAAGAGAAAATGATGTTTACTCAGGAATAGGCATTGCAATGGGAATATGAGTACCATAGCAAACTATGTGCATATTCAGAAATGGACAGGAAGACAAAGATTTTTAAAGGACACATGAGAAGGATGACCTAATTGTTTCAGAATTATTATTCTTGCCTATCAGGATCAATAACAAGGTTGGTGTCAGTCTGAGCTTGCATAGGCTGTTGCTGGGCAGATGTCCTCACAGAACTGTTTTCTGTGTAAGGTTGCGATGGCCTTCGTACAAGGTCGCAGTTTTTGCAGTCTTTCGTGATAGTTTTATTCCCAGGCATACCAGTGTGAGAACCCTCTCTTTATAGCCTTCCCCAGACTCTAGTTGTCAGAGTATTTTTGTTTTGTTTTGTTTTTAACACAAGCAACTCCATTTTGAGTTTGACAACTTTCACACTTTATTTCAGATGAAAGTTAAAAATCGTCACCCTGAACTTGCTGAAGTTGCTTTAAAATTTCGTGTTCCATGCTTACCAACGTATTTTTGCTAGACTGGTTTCCCTACTAGGAGAAACAGCCTTAAGGAAAAACACAGAAGCTGTTCAGATACACGTTATCCAGAAGCGGAACTGCTGGACGGGGGTGATGCGCTGTGTAAGTTTTGAGGAATTGCCATGCTGTTTTCCACGGTGGCTGTACCACTTCACACTCTGACCAGGGAGCACACGGGTTCAAACTTCTCTATATCCCTTCAACACTTGTTATTTTCTGTTTTTGTGGTAACAGCCATCCTAAAGGGCGTGAAGAATTAGCTCATTGTCTTGATCTGCATCTCCCTAGAGATTAGTGATGCTGACCAGCTCTTCATGGGTTCCTTGGCCATTTATATATCTTCTTGGAGAAATATCTGCTTGGCTCACTTGTAAATTAGATTGTTTGTGGGTTTTTTTTGTTCATTTCTGTGTATGTTAGAAAATAATTGATCTGTGCTTGATTGAAAACTTAGAAAAACCTTGACCCCTCACCACACATAGTTGGAGAATCACTGCTCTAGACTTGCTTTCCTCTCGTGCCTTCCTGGATTATACAGATTCATCTTCCATTTGGCTGACTAGATAGCCTTGCTCCCTGTTCAAGAGCAGAACATAGATACTGGAAGACAGCAAGCAGGAAGTTCCCAGAATATATTGGGAAGGCATTATGAGACCCCAGGACATTTTATACCTTCTTAAACTATTAATGAGTCTTTGTGGATTGATCAAAGTACTTTTTTCAGTGAAATATTAGTACTACAAATACTGTGAGTTAGGAATAATATTAATGTACAACAGTTCTAAAGTTAAAATTGATCTTTGGATGACTATTAAACAAAATCTGAAAACTACATAAAGAACACTACACGTATGAAAGGATTACTGATGTTAAACCCAGTGGATTTAATGATAAGGGTTTTCATTGCATGGGAGCACTGGGGATAGTAAGACTATGACTTAGGTGCAGGAAAGGAAGAGGATTATTGCACTTGTCATACTCAAGAGCATACTTTTTCCTTGTGAAGAATAATCAGAGCATCAATCTAAACAATGATCAGCTTATACTATATGCTAAAATTCAGGAGCAGGGAAGATACATAATGAATCCTAGTTATAAATGCCAGAGCGGGTGTTAGAATTGAAATGAAACTGATAATTATTTTATAGCTAACATTTATTGAGAGCATATTATGCACTGAGCATTGCGCTAAGGTATTTATATGTATTATCTCATTTTATCTTCAATAATCCTATTATCATTTTTTTTCATATATGAGAACATTGAGGCATAGAGGAGTTAAGGACACAGAACAAGTAAGTGGTGGCTTCTGGGTTGAAACACAAGAGTTTGATACCAAAGTGCAGGCCATTAGACCATTATGCACTCAGCACATTGCCTGGGACATTTAGCCACCAGGAGTCTAACTACAACTACCCGTTAATTCTTGGGTTTTAGAGTCAGACAACCCTGGATTTGAATTCCAGTTTTGCCACTTACATCTTGGGTAAAATCTTAAGCTTTCTGAGCTTTAGTTATTCTGTCTATAAAAAGGAAGATGGGTCTGGGAAGGGTGGCTTGTGCCTATAATCCTGGCACCCTGGGAGGCTGAGGCGAGTGGATTGCTTGAGCTCAGGAGTCAGAATAGGCCTGAACAAGAGAAAGACCCTGTCTCTACTAAAAATAGAAAAACTAGCCAGGCATTGTGGCAGATACCTGTTGTACAGCTACTCAGGAGGCTGAGGCAGGAGGACTACTTGACCCCAGGAGTTTGAGGTTGCTGTGAGCTGTGACACTATCGCACTCTAGCCTGGGCAATAGAGTTATAAGTGAAATACTTTCCTTGGCTATGGGGAGACTTGGAATTTTTCTACCATGTAGATGGGTAGTAATTTAGGCCTTCTTCCTTGAGATTTCACATAAAAGAAGTGTTTACTTTTTGCTTTTATTTGTCTTTGATTTTGACAGTCCAATACCTTGTTTTTATCCTGTGTGTCCACTTCTCCTGGTGCCATAAACTTCAGTAGAAGTGCCAAGCACTTAGGGCTCCTATGCCTGGTGGTCAAGTGCAAAGGGGTCATCTCTTCTAGATCCTTCTGCATCCAGTTTGCTCTGCGTGTAAGTAAGAGTTTCATGAAGCGATAATTTCCCTAAATAAAAAAAAAAAAAGAGATGGTAAGAAGACATTTGCTTTGGGACCAAACATTTTATTACATTTTTAAAGGTATTAAGTATTTTAATTACTCTCCTAGAGTAATAACATTTAGAAAAATTAATAAAAGAAAAAAATACTTATAATTGTGCAATACAAAGATATCAATTGTTTTATTTTTTCAAGTTCCCTTCCAATTACTTTCTACATAAATATAACTTACATAGTGGCTGGTCAATATTTTATTGGGCAAAGGTAATATTTTTATTTAACCAGTCTATTATTGCTAGATATTTTCAATATTTTCTTTTATAGAAGATGTCTCAATGTACATCTTTTATCACAAAGATTTTTTTCTAGTTTTTTTTCGTAAAAATAAATTATCAGGAACCAAATTACTAGGTCAAAGAAGTATGTACATCTTATGGTATTTGGTTAATTTTCTGAATTGCTATCTAGTAACAACAGTGTGTAAGTGTTTTAGTTTCAGCACATTCTGACCAACATAGCATCTATTTTTATATTCAAAGTACAATAACCTTGTGAATAAGCAAAGATGTAAAATCCCAATTTACAGGTGAGGGTACTGAGATTCAAAGGGTAATCCTTTGTTTTGTTCATAATCTTTTGGTTAACAAGGAGGGGATGGTTAGCTTTCTTGGGGAGAAACATTTATGTCTACAAATAAGGTAGAAGCAGTTTATTCAAAGTTTGTATCTCAGATTCATATGGTCACCTGACATCAACCCTGAAGTCACTGCAGACCCATTTATTTGCAGGCAATACTCTCTCCACATTACTTAAATCCTCCACCTGGAGAAAGAAGCTTAGCTACAAGGACTAGAACAAATACAGCTATACATAGTTAAGTCTGTATAATATGGGAACTTTGAAACAAAACAAAATTCTCTAAAATTGTTTTTCTGAGCTCTTTTCTCAGATGCTTACTTTCAATCCTGGTTGGAGATTTCTGTATGCTTGGTACCAGAGATAGTTCAAGGTCAACATGACAAGACAGTATTGTGTGAGTTCACTGCCTATTACGCTGCTTCACTGTCTATTTATCTGTCCCTATTCAAAGCATAATGGCAGCAGGGTCATCTGTCCTTTCCATCTTCCCAGACCCTCCACATCCCTAACCTTGCAAGAAGTGAGGCCCTTTAATATTTTAACACACTGATATTCTACTATAAGGAACTATCAATATTGGTCAGGAAGGCATTGTTAATCAAGCCAACCACCCGCTCTAAGGAATGTGAGGTTCTAAGGCAAAGGGGAGAGCTACAGTGAGAAGCAGGATAAATGAGACTTGCCCCCTTGCCCCTGGGGCAGAGATAAGAAGAGATACTAAAGACTATTGTCTCCTCTGAGAGAGGCTTTCCTGCTAACCCTCTGCACAACTCACTTTGCACCTTGTCATTTGCTTTAGAGTAAGTACTTCTCAGGTGTATCACCTACACAGTTGTTTGCTTCCCCTCACTGTGACCCCCCCACCATAGACTATAGGCTCCATTAAGGCAGAGACTATGTTTTATCGACCGATGTGTTCAGTATAGTTACTGGCACAAAAAAAGGGCTTAATTATTAATTAATATTACTTGAAAGACTGAATAACTTTGTTTTTACTTAAAAATTCTTATTTGCTGTTGCTCTATTAGATCCTAACAGTTAAGAATCTTAATTCTCAAATGTCTGGTATTTGGTTATTCTCACTTTTCCATATTTGTTTATTTGAGCGTCATTAGTGTGTGCATCATTTATCAGGACTTCTCATTTCATTCTGTGCCAGCTCTTGACAAGGAAGGTGCTAAAATTTCCTCAAGAGGGCACCCTGCTCTAAATTTCTCAACATCTTTTCTTTGAAAAAAGAAAAAATGCGTAGGAAAAACAAATCTATGTGACACTTCATACTGAAAAATAAGGTTTGACCTTTCTGAGCATAACATTTCAAATATTACAGAATAATTCATCATGACCTTTTAAAGATATTCAATCAGCCAGTCATTCTGATTGTGAAATTAGAGGAAATGAGAAGGAGAAAAAGGAAACCAGTATGTTGGTCTATGTGTATGTTGGTAGGGTGACTACCGAGTTCCAGACACAGTGCTTGGCCTATTTACATTTTACACTGCTGGGGAATCTACCTACACCAAACAAGGTACATCTCAGTAATAATATTTACTCATTTATTCAACATAGTCATCAAGCTTTGTTATAAAGTTGATGATAGAACCGTCTTTGTACTTTGCTTTACTTGTTAGAGACTCTTTGACATGAATTTCATCTTTGCTTCTCAGAGAAGTATCAAGGAAAATTTTTATAGATTAAATGCATTATCCTCCTGCACCTCTATTTTCTCATCTGTTAAACAGGAGATAATAATTGTACCTGAAATTATTATTCATATGAAATGAGATAAATAATATTTATAAAAGTACTCAGAACAGTGCACAAAGCAAATGCTAAGTGAAGGTTTGCCACGATTATGAGTAATTTTCTAGGGTGGAGAAGGCACCCAAATGCAGATGGTCAGGCAGAACCAGGAATGGGCCATGATAGGGAGATTTGATTGTAGTACACACGGTTCAGCTAGTGATTAAGGAGAGAACCAAGATTAGGAAAAGAGAAAAATAAAAATAGTCAAAATGCTATAAATAGAGTTATCTGCTGGAGATACAGTCCAAGACCCCCAGCGAATACCTGAAACCACAGATAGTACCAAACTCTCTATATATGTTTCTACCTACATATACACACTTGTAATAAAATTTAATTTATAAATTAGTTGCAGTAAGAGGTTAACAGTAACTAATAATAAAATGGAACAATTACAACAATATATTGTAATGAAAGTTATGTTAATATGGTCTTCCTCTTTTTATCTCTCAAAATACCTTAAGATTTTTCAGACCATAGTTTACCATAGTTAACTGAAACTACAGAAAGCAAAACCATGGATAAGGGAGGACTCCTGCAGTGGTTTTTCTGATTTTTTTTTCTTACATTGAGAAAGATGTCTATATTCTACCTACAGATAATAAATGATACTACCAGACCAACAAGGGCATACCTGATAGGAACTGAGCTGCTACCTGGGGAAGGGGTTCTATTCCAAAGGACAGGAGCTCACAGGATGTTATCTACAGAAAGAATATAATTCACTCGGTCTGAGATCAACCTCCTTGGTCTCATAAACACATACTGATTAAAAGAGCAGGAGGGACAGAGGACTTCAAGAGTTAAAAAAAGAAAAATGTCTCCAGTGTCAGTACAAAAGGGGAAGATTGTAGTGTACGGTAGTAAGCTAATTTGACAACCTTCTGAGAGTTGTCTTACCCTTGGGGCCACCCTGTTACAGGCCACTTTGCTTCCTGCAAAGTCCTCTTGATGAGAAGCAAACAAAATGTCTAAACATTTCCTCAATATTGCTTAAACCAAGGACTTGTTAAGTTTTTAGGAATAATCTTACAAGACAAATACTTTGGGGAAGATTTGGAAGGTAATTACTCAGAGCAGCCCCCATAAGGGCACTCCTAGAAACTGTCCTGAAGTGAGGATTGTTTGCTTTGGCATCTGCTTTTGTAATTTCTGACTGGACAGGAAATAGTACGAGAGAGAAGGAGATTCCTAAGAAAACTGATGGTAGGTTGAGCAGAAGTAAGAGAGCTGAAGTTTCAGAAACGTCTTGATTTAGTCACTGAAAGGACATTACTCTGATATGATCAGGTCCTTTGTGCCTCTGAAATGTGAAAAATTTCCCAGTATTTCTGAAACAGTGAATAAAATGCTTTTCTTGTTTTTTGTTTTTCATTAGGTTGTCTTAATTCTCATTTTAATCTTCCTATAATTATTAACAAGAGCCTCTTTTGTCTGTCATGCAAACGATTATAATATTTGAATTTTCCCCAAATGCACAAAAAAGCATACAATCTCTGGAAAGAGAATGAAAAAATTATCTGACCTGGAGAATAGCAATCAAAATAAATCTGGGAAAGAAATCAGCTCCAAATGCTCATTTTAGCTTTAGATTTTTGTCTGTCCAGTTCTCTTAAGATGAATTCCTTTTTTTGTACATGTGTGACAGAGTGGTCCTAGGATTGAGTGCTGTAGTGTCATAGCACACAGCAACCTCAAACTCTTGAGTTCAGGGGATCCCCTTGCCTCAGCCTCCTGTGTAGCTGGGACGACAGGCGCCAACCATGATGCTCAGATAATTTTTCTATGTTTAGCAGAGACAGGGTCTTGCTCTTGCTCAGGCTGGTCTCAAACTCCTGAGCTCAAACAATCCACCTGCCTCAGACTCCCAGAAGGCTAGGATTACATAGTTATTTAATCTTAATAACAATCATATGGAGATTTTGAGTGCAATATTTTGATATTTTGCGTTAGATTTTTCATTGTTAACGATTAAAACACAACTGCTACATTTCATGATTCCTTTTTGTCACCAATTCCATTTCCTTTTCTTCCTCTTTGGAGACTACCTTGAATTTGATGTTTACCATACCAAAGCATGCTTTTATACTTTTATTTCATATATATACATACATAGATGTACATGAACTACTAGTATTGTTTTAAATGTTTTCAATCTTTATATGAACAGTCCTGTTTTAATTATTTGCCATCTTTTACTCAAAACAATATTTCTGAGATTTATCCAACCTGCTTTGGTTCACAACTTTGCATGGGGTAAATATTCTGTCATGTGAAAATAATATATTTATTCTTCTCTACAGTAATATTTAGTATGTTTCTAATTTTTTACTATTACAAACAATACTGTAATGAATATTCTTGTGTATCTGCCTAGTAAGAGTGCAAGAATTTCTGAAACTGTTGGATTGAATTTGCTCTCAAAGTAGCTACTCCAGTTTCTATTCCCTCCAGTAATGTATGAGAATTCTTATTTCTCCACAACCGTGTCATATTTGTTTTCAGTTATGTCATACTTGCTAAGTTTTGCCCATCGTACAGGTATATAGTACATTTCCCTAA